CCCTAAGATATATTGATTTTTTTCACACTTGGGTGGAATATATGACCTATATCCCATACTCTGCTGTAGAATAACTGAGACAGCCTAAAAGTGAGGGCATTGCATAGATCGGGATCATCTAACCTAATCTCCTAATCTCCTGTTTTCCAGGGATTGGAAGGGTGAAGTGAATTGCCCAAGGTCATTAAACAAGTCAGCCCTATCTCAAGTCAGCTCTATCTCAGCCCAGGCCTCCTGGCTCTGAATTACCAAACTCTCCTAGACCAAGAAACAATGCAACCTTGTTTCCTACTCCTGAATCTTTTTTAGTGGGTTATTATAGAATGAGACTTTGACATCTGCTAACAAACTCTGTAGGATTTGCTGTTGGCCTGGTAATGGGAAACATGTCAATAAGTAAATCTACTTATTTATTTATTTTTATATAGATGAATAATTCCTCAACCTGTCAGCAAATAGTAGACAAGTAGAACAGACAAGAAACACATGGGAAACCTTTAGTCAGAAAAAATATTTTTGGAGAAAAACAGAAACTCATCCTTTGCTACAGCAGGGACTGCGGGATCCACTGGGCATCCAGAGCAGGTGTTGAGCTCATGCGCAGCAGCCCCAGGGCCCCGAGGCAACTCCCACAAGCAGAAAAGGAAGAACTGGTCTCAAAATTGTGGCAGGAGTAATGATTTGCTTTTGCATTGGAAGTGGACTGATCCTCATGAGGCAGAAACAGAACTGTCCCCCACAAAGGGAAGTTGGCTCCCCAAACAGATAACCAGCAGATGCGCTTTACTAGGTTTTGAGTTTGGAGGTTTTTGCTTGTTGTTTGTTAGACTTTATATTGTTTGAAGCAATGAGCGGTGGTGAAAGAATTGTCCAGGGGCAGGTCATTGTTCTCTTTGGCTCTCACATGTCTTCGTAGTCAAGAGGGTATAAAACACCTCTTTTTGAGTTATAAAAGGAATTACATTAGACAAGTGTTTGCTCTTTCACCACATATAAGGCAGTGTTTCTTAATATGTGCACTATAAAGATTAATTCAACAGGATTTCTTTTATAAAAAGTTTGTGTGCTGCATACATCCTTACCTTTACCAACAGGCAGAAGGTACAAAGTAATGTTATAAAGTTATTAAAATAAGAAAATGGCAGTTCCAAATTGGAGGCTTTTATGCTAAGCCCACCAAGACTTAATACCTAGCTGAGCTGCAGTTTCAAACCTCCCCTAGAAATGTAGTCTTAACTGGTAAGTATGGAATTTTCTGGTCAACACCAATGAAGTAACTTCTTCATTTCCCACAGAAAAATGAGATAATCTGTCACAAGACCTTTATCTATGCACCATACATAGGTTACTTAAATCTTAAATAATTCCCTCTTCTTCTCTTTTGCCTTCTCTTTGACTATAATGTCTTTCCTTTGGGGGCCTCCTGTGGCAGCACAGGCAGTTGAGTGCAGTGCTGTGAAGCTGTCCACAGCCTCTGCAGCACCGGTTCAATCCAGCTGGCCAGGGAGAGACCCACATGGCACAGCAGACCTCTCCTGTCTCACCCACTGCTCCCCTCAGCACTGTATTTCAGTCAGTCTGCCTGTTCTGTTCCCTGCTCTGTCTCTGGTGAATCCTCTCACCCTCCCGCACATCTGATCTGTACCCCAGTTCTTGTGTGCATGAAAAAATAAATATTAAAAAAAATCTTTCCTTTTGTATAGTGTCTCAGTGTTCTCTTCTGCTTGCAAACGGGATGCTGCCCAATTCATGAATCATTAATAAAGTCAATCAGACCTTTAATATCAACTTGGTTGAGACTCGCCTTCACAGGGAAACATGGCGGAGGCCCCAGGCCAAGCTCTGCTGCCTATGTTCCCTCAGCAGCTACCCTGAATAGTCCAGGTGCTACTCCAGCCTCGACCTGAAAGGAACACCCCTTGTCTTGGGCGCCACTCCTGCTCTTTTACTTCAGGGCACAGCCATTGTGAGTGCTGGTGGGAGGTGTCAGCTGACCAGTGCTGGTGGGGGCCAAAAGTGGTGGCTGAACTGGCAAAATGGCATCTACAAGTTGGTGGAGGACTCAAAATATCAACCCAGAGGCAACCTGGAGCTCATCTTCATGCAGGTGGTGGAAGAAGTTGGAGTCTAGGACGATGGCTCAGTGAAGAAATCTGTGGGCCATAATTGGCTACTTCCTCAAAGGCCAGCTATATGTGCATCCCTTGAAAACAAGAGGTTGTTTGGAGAGAAGAAATTGCTGAGGCAAGATGGAAAATTAGGAAAGATCTGGACCAGAGCTGGTGAGGTGACAGCGAAATTTCTGAGAAGTTGTCATTTGGAGACGTGTGAATGAAGAACAACATTAAATGGGAACTAAACCCTGAAAGACATGTCACTTTCTCCAAAATCTTGGTGTTGTGGTTTTCCCACATACACTGAGGTTACCAGAAGAACCCATCAGATGTGGGGGTTTCTGGCCTGATGTGAAAGTAAATGGACTTGATACTGTGAAGGGCCTATGTCTGTGGTGGACTCTGAGAGGCCCAAGACCAAAAGATGTAAGTACTGGTTAGCCCAGCAAGCTGCCAAGGGAATGGCCCCCACCACTTCCAGAGGATCTGAATTGCTCACCCTTGAAAGGTGTGAAGCAAAATCAGAGGAGCAGTGGGCCAACAATGGCCCAGCTCCCTGAGCTTAGTCCCAGCTCTGACCAAATATGAAATTTTATAGATCATATGGGTTATCAGACTAAACTTCACATCCATGTGAAGTCTCCATATTTTCCCTCTCCCTCCTCAACTACTTTCATACCAGTATTATGGGACAGTCCTGCTTCAGAAGTACCAGCCTGCAGTTTTTATAAGCTAAAGATTAAATGACCAAATCAGTCTAGAACACACTCAGCCTCTTTCTCCATTTGAATTCACTGAAACAAATGGAAGAGCTTGCCATTTTCTCTAGTACTTGGCTCATTCTCAGCATTCCAAGTGAACATTTGTATCTCAAGAAGAAATTTTAAAAGTTATGTTCTTTAAAATAATAGTAATAATTAATAATAATAAAATCAACTTGGTTAGATTTTTGTTTTTTAACAAGATAAAGAATAAAGGACGAGGAAAATATGGAACATTCATGCCTAACATGGAGAATAGAGGGAATCTGTATTTTTATAGAAAAGGACATTTTAGTTGAACCTGGGATCTTTTGAGAAGGCACACAAAATTCCAGTCAGGGTGAGGGGCAAGCAAAGTGTTGAAGGCAGGTAGGCACACATGAGTTTGGAAAGGATAAGAACATCAAGAGGCCTGTGGAAGAAGGAAACTGAGTTAATAAATTTCTAGACTCCTCCTGATCATCAGGAATGCCTCAGGAGATTTATCTGTTTCTTTGTTTTCTGACACTTTAAATACAGCCTTAAACTCTCTCCAGGCTTCCTTCCCCTAGTAGCATGGGATGGAGAAGGAGAACATCAAAAAAGACCACTAGCTCTTAAAGCTGTTTTAGCTTACCTCTAAAATTTTTTCAAGACCTTTCTTTTCTCCTAGACTTGCTTTTATTTTTTCTTCTGAAGGCAGAAAGTGTACCCATGTCAGTATCTTCAAAAGTCACTATTTTGATTTTCGTTTTCTTGCCTGTATGTCATGGGACCCTGTTGCTAAGAGCCCAGGGCCCATCAGCTTTTCATTTCTTTTCCTTACAGAATCATTTAAAGGGCCAGCTTCACAGGCTGGCTCTGGTGGGAGGAATGGCCTTCACTGTTTTCAGACATGACCGAGGGCACAAGTGATTGACCCACCAGACAGCGGGTATGGGTTAGGCAGCAGCAGGAAGAGAGTTTCTGAGTAGGGCATGCTCTTCCATTTCCCAGATCTGAATCTTCCTCTCAACCAGCACCGGTAAAATAAAAAGAAGAGAAGGATGTGACTCTACAACATGGTCCTGTATGTGCTCATAGTAAATTCCTCCCCCTCCCTCTCTCCATGTTTTACACAGATTCAGATGAAAGCACCCATGTGTGAGGAAAGGTTTTCCTGACCTGTACATTAGTATAGGATAAATTTGGAGAATATTCTAGAACTATCAGCACAGATGAACCCATGCAGGACCTAGTGCTGATGGGAGAAAGTCTAAGGGCACCCTGCCATGCTCAGGGACTTCCCACGTGGAAATGACCTACTTCAGGTCTTCTCAGTGATGGAACATGACCCTTTGCTGCCAAAACTGGACTCAAAGACCAGATTCTGAGATTAAACGATGGGAATATTCTCTTTCTGCTTGCTGGAAACATAACAGATATACCCCCCAAAAAAACCCCCAAACCCACACATTTTCTGAAATAGTGAAACACAGAGCTCACCAATGGAAAGTAAACCCTGTGGAAATATTTACTAGAAAATATTGAAACCGCAATGAAGCAGAGGTGATGGAGAAGCTGTGGCTCCAAGGAACTAAATCTTCCATGTGACCCTGTGGAACTTTATCTGCGTAGCAGACGAAATTCTACTTCATGAGTATTTAGACTCTTCCAAGTGTTGCAGGTTGAATGATCTTTGCTCCCCTCAAGGAACAAAAATAAAATCAACCCAAGTTGGATATGTGACATCTCAAATGTTTTGGTGGGATATCTATTCATTTCAGTGCTTGTTTCTTTAGATTTACGTACTTCCATTCATTTGGACTATGGCAGTGGGCTGTCGGTATTTTGGTGGTAGATGTGATGGTAGCAACACCTGAAGGGGAAGATCCTCTAAAACTCAAATGACATTGTAAACATATAATCTCAATTTTAAAAAATGGCTCTGAACAGAAAGGCAGTCCTATGAAGTTGCCGGGTACTGGAAACTGGGAGCTCTAAGAACAGCCATAACTAGTACCCATTGTAAGGTATTCTTTGTGTGACAGTCACTCTGCAACCCCCAGACTTCAGCAGGGATGTATCAAACTCAGTGTCTCATCTAATGTCAGAGATAAAAGTCTGTGTGCTTGTTTGAACTACAGAGTTAAAGGAACTCAGAGGAATGTCAGTGGATACTCTGCTCATGGGTATGTTCAAGGACCAAAAATTGGAGGTAGCAGTCTACACTCACTAAAGCTAAGTCACCTGCAGGAGCCCAACCTGACACAGGAGGCCTCATGAGAAGTCCCCAGAGAATTCCTAGATAGTGAACTCTGTGTATAATATAGCTATGGGTGTGACCTAATTTGTACCAAACTCCTGCTGAAAGATCTAGGTTATTTAATAGCATTGGCTCAAATGATTGAAGGCATTAATCATTTTGTAAACTGCTACCTATCTTTAAAACCATAGACTGAAGAACAGAGCCATCAAAGAAAAAAATTAGATTTTTTCCAAGTAGCAAAGCTAACTCACTATGTAATTTGCCACATTATCATGATTATGATGAAGGTATTCACTAGTCAGTGTTCCTTGAAATTTGAACAGTAACTATGGCTGAGATCAAGGACCACACTTGGAGAACCACTACTCGAGAGGACATTATCTCAAATGTGTAGCATCCTGAGATTGTTCCAGGTGATAAAGCCTAGCACCTCTTTACATCAGATCGTGTATAGCTGCCTGAGTCATGGCTATACGCTTCTACCTCCACCCTGGGGACAGTGCTGCTGTCTGGAAACACAGCTGAGCTCTCTGTCTTGTATCCTGACTGCCCTGATGTCCACCAAATTCCTTGAGTGAAAAAAATCTTTTGGGTTCCTTAGGTGGTGGTCTACCTGGACTTTCATTTCCTTGACCCTAATATTTACTACATATTGTGGAAGTGATCAAGCATGTGATATCAGCAACATTTATACTAAGTGCATTCTCATTTATGAAATATGAAAATAATTTTTATATCAGGAAAATAAAAAGATAAATTGCTACCACCCCTCTCTTTAACAATGTAAATGGAGTTTCTGGCCAGTATAGAGGACAGGAAAACTAAAACAAAATTTAAGCATTGAGGGGGCCTCCCTGGTGGCACAAGGGGTTAAGACACAGCACTATGAAGCTATCTGCAACTACTACAGCATGAGTTCGAACCCTGGCCAGGGAGGTGACCCACATGGCACAGCAGACCTCTCCTGTCTCACCTGCTACTCCCCTCAGCAGTGTATTTCAGTGGATCCACCTATTCTGCTCCCTACTCTGTCTCTGGTGAATCCTCTCACCACCTCCACCTCAGGCCTGTACCCCAGTTCTTATATGCATAAATAAATAAATCTTTAAAAATATTTAAGCATTGACTAAAAATCAGCTTGCCAGGTCATTTCACTAGAAGTATCTTCCCTGGAAGGTGGAATATCAGCATCTTTCAGTCTCTCCTCTTTAGCCTCTACAAGTCTCTCAAATTCTCAGAGAACATTCTAAACACCTGCCAAGTAAATTTCAGCACCCAGAGTCAATGACTGGCAATCTTCTTCTCTCTAGCACTTAGCAGAACATTCCAATTTGTCTCTCCTTCTCTAGTTCCAAGATCCTCTTCTTCACTGGGAAAGGCAGTGGATCAGGTTTTTGCTAAGCCACTGTCACCATCCTCCTCATGATGGAAGAGTTTCCTTACCATTTCCAGAGGGGCCTGCACTGCTGCTCCCCTGATTTTTGAGGATTCCCCAAGGCACATTGTGAAGATTCCAATTCCCCCACCCCTGCCCCAGCCTGCAGCAGTAGACCCTTTACAAAGGCAAGGAATGTGGGCAAGTGTTTAACAAGAACTGCCTCCCTGTTCAACATCTGTGGATTCACACTGCAGTGAAGTCTTATGAATGCTAGGAGTGCTGAAGAGCCTCCGTGAATAGGTAGACCTTGTTCACATGGGAGGTTTCACAATGGTGAGAAGCACTTTAAGTGTGAGAAATGTGGAAATTCTTCAACTCTAGATGCCACGTCTTCTATCACCAGTGGATTCACACTGGCGAGAAGCCCTATGCATGCAGTGAATGTGGAAAGACCTTCAACGTCTACCGCACTTTTATCTAGCATGTTACAATCCACCCTGGAGAAAAACCCTTTGGGTGCAAAGAATGTGAGAAAACCTTTCACTACACCTCTTCTTTAACTCAACATATGGAGATACACACTGGCAAGAAGTCTTACAAAGGCAATGAATGTGGAAAAGCTTTCACCTTCAACTGTTTCTGGCCGACATGGTATGGCCCATATAAACATAAGCTCCGAGACTGTAAAGAGTATGGGAAAGATGTTAACTACAACTATTCCCTCACTCCACACACAAGGAGTCACACTGGAGACAAGCCCTCGGAGTCCACTGAGTGTGGAAAGGCCTTTGCCTGCCGCTCCACTTTTGTCCAGTAGAAAATCCACACTGGAGCAGAAGACTTTGAGTCAAATAATGTGGGAAAATCTTTTGTAACAGCTTTTCTTTCCCCTGACACTTGAGGAGACATGCTGGAGAGAAGCACTCTAAATGCGGTGACTAATAGAAAAGCCTTCAGCCGCCTGTCATCCCTCACTCAGTACAGGATTTATGCTGGAGAGAAACTGTGAATGTAACATTCGCCAGAAGGGCTCTCGCATGTGGGCTTACTTCAGTCAACATCATAGAACTTATACTGGGAAAAGAACTTTTGAATGTAACTACTAAGGGAAATCTTTTGACCACAGGAAACATCTCACTTGTCACCTGAAAATTCATCCAGGAGAGACCCGTTGGTTATGTGCACTTAAAAGAAATTTCAGGGCCTCCCCGGTGGCTCAGCGGTTGAGCGCTGGGTTGCGAAGCTGCCCGCGGACTCTGCGGCGCCGGTTCGATCCCCGGCTGCTCCCCGGCCACCGGAGGAGGATCCCACATGGTGCGCAGACCTCTCCTGCCACCCGCTGCTCCCCTCAGCAGTGTACTTCAGCCCTTCTGCCTGCTCTGCTCCCCGCTCTGGCTCTGGTGAATTCTCTCACCCTCCCGCGCTTCTGACTGTACCCAGTGCATGTATAAACAAGACAAACAAATATAATAAATAAATAAATAAAAACATGCCTCTATAAAAAAAAAAAAAACTATTAAAAAAAAAAAAAAAAAAAAAAGAAATTTCAGCTATGGTTCTCTCCTTAGGTTGTATCACCGAGCCACCTCAGGAATATTTTTTAAAGAATGAAGAGAGAAGCTGTAGAAAAGAAAAGAAAACAAAACAAAACAAAAGGCATATACAACTCCTTTCAAATTTCTTTGAAAGCTATGCCTACGAAAATTTGAATTTGTTTATTTGGGGCATCACTGAAAGATCAAAAGGCCTTACCCCTTTATTTGTCATATCTATCTATCTACATATGTGTGTCTACATCCTTAATGTATATAATTCTTGTTAGTGTACATTTCATAAATATATTATAAGCTGGTGAGCTAGTGAAATGAGAGTTGGACAGTTGAGGGCAGTGCTGTAAGATATATTGGAAGCAATTTTTGTGCCAAAACATTATCTTTAGTCTTGGGAAACATAAGTCTTTGTGAGAAACAGGAAGGCCTATGTCATAAAAATCTTGAAACTTATAAGAAATAAGAACACTAAAAATACAGCCACATGAAATTATTTTACATTTAAAGAGATAAGGATCCATACATAAATGGGGACATTTTATGCATCATTTAAGATAATTTAATTTTTAATTATTCAATTTAAAATCATTTTAATTTTTTATATCTTTCTTCACGTGATTTGAACACTGGCATTTTGTGACTTTGATGGGGTTATTTGTTTTGATTCATTTTCTCAGGAAGCTAGGGAAGATTACAGACGTATGTAGCTTTCTAGATGAACTTTAAGTCTTTCTTCTGCTTTTTCAGTTCTGCCTACAGGGTCTTCTCCAAAGCCATGTCAGAAGTTTTCTAGAGGTTAAACTCTGGCTAAAACAATCTAAATAAAACACAGCTAACTTAAACTAATACTTAGATCTCAGAAAAAAACTAATTAAAAAAATGAATACTGCATATTCAAATGTAAAACATGTAGATCCATTGACATGTTTGTTCAATTTCTAGAAATCTAGCCTTGAGTTTCTAGCACATTAGTTTCACAAATGTGCAGAGACAACATGTCAAAGTAATCAGTTTGTGTTTTCATATAAGAAAAATTGAAAGCAACCTACATGTCCATCGATAAGGTAATAAATTATGTTGCATCTGTTTATGAAATACTATAAAACCATAAGGTATCTCTATATGTACTGATGTTAAAACATCCCTAGATAAAGTGTAAGGTAAAAGAGCAGGTTGCAGGAAATCTAGACCTGGAGGGAGAAACATACAACTCTGTTAACAGTCTCTATGGGGAATGGGATGGTCCCATGGGCCGGGGTTGAGAGCTTTTGGTGTATACTTTATATCCTTCAGCAATGTTTGCATCTTTAAAATAAAAAGCATGTATTATTTTGTAATAAAAGTTTCAAATATTTTAATAAAAATGGCAACTTGGAATAAAAGTGATTTGTATTATTTCTTATAAAGTATTAATTTTACAGAAATTTTTTAAGTCTTGACATTATGAGATGAAATTTTCAGAGCCACTTGGCCACACTTAACTCATGAGAAGGTAGTTTAAAAATGAATCAACATATCTGTAGAAAAATATATGTAAAGACAAATGTGAGTTCAGCATGGGCATCTTCAATGGACATTCATTTCCTTTAAAATCCTTAAAGTTCCCTTTTGCAAGTGATCAGCTTTTAGGTGCCAGGTTTTTATTTCTTGGAGTTGATATGAGAAACACACTTTCACTGCAGTTAATGTTAGTGAATTTTATGTGCCCACACACACATATTTGCTGGCCATCGACGATTTCTAAATGTGTGCTGTTGAATGAATGCAGTTTGGTTACCTTCAGATTTATTTTCAGACTTTGTGATACATGTTAGTGTTCTGAATGAAGAAAAGTGTGGCTGCTTTTTTCCAACATAATAGCCATGCCAGACCTACTTGTTATTAAGGAAATCAGTTTGATATCTGCCTATTTTTCCTTAGGTTTTGTCTATGTTCTCCCTCACCATATATGTGACTATTTATTACATCATTGCATTGAGACTCATTTACCATCAAAAATATTTTCCTTATTTAGAAATAAATGAGGAGTGGGATTTTCCCATAAGTAAACCTATAATCCACAGGTAAAATTCTAGGCATTTTAGTTGTACTAGTTTGACCAATAGAATTGATCCACAAGACATTTGATCTGTGTTTTGTTCTCCACTAGTGAGGGAACCTGGAAACTATGTTGTGATATAAGTAGACTCTGCTTATCTGGGGTCTGTGTCTGAAAGTGGGCTATGAATGGGGAATGAGGAGACTAGTGGCTGAAGAGAATTGTTGGTTTGGAGGCTGCTATAACAGCACACTGTATGTAAACTGAGTGGCTTCTAAACAACAAAAATTTATTTCTCACAATTCTAGAGACTGACCAGTCCAAGATCAAGACATTAAAGGCTATGTATCTTGTGAGAACTTACTTCCAAGTCATAAGCAACCATCTTCTCCCTGTGTCTTCACATGGCATAAGGAACAAGGGGGTTCTCTGGGGCCTCTTTTAGAAAGACACTAATCCCATTCTTGAGTGTTCTACCTTCATGACCTAATCATCTCCAAAAGGTCCCACCTCCTTCTACCATCACAGTGGGCATTGGGGTTCAACACATGAATGGGGGGTACACACATTCTGTCCATAACAGAGGAGAAAATATCACCTAGATCTCTTTTCTGTAAGAATTACTGAGAAGTCTCCCTTGGTGATCTAAGTGTAGACTACACAGGTTTGATTGCCCTGGGAGATATAAATAAAAGACCTCTGGTGTTCCCTATGGTTTTAAACCCTGCCTCCACTCAGAAAACAGGTGCATACCCTGAGAAATGGGTAAGTAGTGTTGCATCTGAGGGTGGTAGTGACTGAGGGTCCATCTGAGTGTGGTTAATGAGACCCACGACTCCCTGGGAGGTTATGATTTTCAACCAACTGAAGAAAGTTGTCATTTCAGAGACCACAAGTAGGGTCTCATTGTGATTCTGCAATTGAACCATCAAAGTGTCCTCATAATGGACAAATATCCAAGATATTCAAAACAATATTCAATTGTGGTACATATAGTAGCATTGAAAAAGTAACTCTACTGGCTGATATAAACTGACCAAATGTCCTTTCCCTCTAAACTTGACCTTAGAAGAGGACTAACGCACTTGAAATAAGTGCCCAATGTTCCTAATCCGACTTAAGGTGCGCAGATGCTTAGAAGATGCTGTGCTTCCTGATAATGAGGTATTTGGAACACATGTGAGCAATCAAATGCCTAATTGGGGGAAAAGGGGTAAATACTCATTTTTAAATTCTAAGATTTATGGGGCAATTCAACCCAGTTATAGGTTTGAAGTATTTTTTTTTTTTTTAGGTTTTTAAAAAATATTTATTTATTTATTCATACAAGAGCTGGGGTATGGGCCAGAGCTGTGGCGGGGTGAGAGGATTCACCAGAGACAGAGTGGGGAACAGAACAGGCAGGTTGACTGAAATACACTGCTGAGGGGATAAGCGGGTGAATCAGGAAAGGTCTGCTGCACATGTGCGTAGCTCCCTGGCTGGTGATCGAACACACGCTGCAGTGGCTGTGGCTAGCTTCATAGGTTGGGTCTTAACCTCTTGCACACCAGGGAGACCCTTGAAGTATTTTCTTAAGGCTAATAAAATGTAGGCCTTTTGGAAACAGAATTCTTTAGATACTACATTTGGTTTGTTAACTATTTTTCAATGAAGGACTTTGAATGTTCACTCTCCTTTACTTTCTTTCCATCAATGTTATGGGGAAGTTTCTTTTGCTCTGTGGTGTCTTTCAAGATTTGTTTATCTTTGATATTTTATCATTTCAACATGGTGTGTCTGGGTGTGGTTTTTTGATTTATCATGCTTGGTGCCCATAAGGATTTCTGAATCTAAGGATTCCTGAATTTTATCAATTCTGGAAATTTTTTAATTCATTGTAACTTTGGATATGCATCACCCCCATGATCTCTATTATTAGTTTCTACAATTTCAATTAGATGTATATTGTACCTTCTCACTTTATCTTCCCCTTTTTTTAACTTACCTCCCATATTTCAATCTCTTTGTTCCTCTTTGCTTTCAGAGTAATTACTTCATATCTATCTTCCAGTTCATTAACTCTTTTCATTTGTATAACAGAAACTTCTAAAGTCAGTGGTTATATTTTTCATTTATACAAGTTCTAACTGCTTCTTTTCTTTAAATATGCATGATGATTCTTATACTTTTAATACCTCTTTTATAGTTTGTATCAGATGTTTCTAATATCTGAAGTTTTAAAAGTTC